TATTAACTGTTTCTTTGGGGGCTGAATGGTAATCTTCTGGTGTCAAACTTAATCTTCATATAAGCACAAACTTATCCTTGCAAATATAATCTTGGAAAGGAAAAATTACTGCTACTACAAACATCACATAAAAATGACTGTACTAAGAGGCATAACATTGTCTGGTACTTGTTAATGGTGAGATAATCGAACTACCTTTTAGATGTCATATTTCTAGACAACAACCACTCATTTTGCCAGTTTTCGGGACCAGCGGGACATGTGAAGTTTCCTTGGATTCGTAGTCACGCGATCAAATAACACCAGACATATGTAATCAATACTTGGAACATGATATATCTTCAGAAAGCATATTTATTTAGGTCTCTCACTATTTCTATAAAAGTATTCAGTGGAGAAATTTCTATTTAGGATTTTAAAAAGAGAAAAGCCCAAATAGTTTCAATATCCTTTTCCGCATTCTCAGGCAAGTGTAGATCTCAGGCACTCTAGTTGTGATTAGTTCATCTAATATTATGTCATAATCAAAACTTAGCACTTAGTTTAGTTAGAATCAAGTATAACTGCTCCCCCTCTGAGAATCTGTGTGTGGCTGCAAAGCTAAGGAAAAAGGTCTTTTTCTCCTTGTTCCTGGCAGCTTCTGAGCCTTCTAGGTTGAGGATGAGAGACGACAGAAGAGACAGGGCAGGGTGGGTGTTCTCATTTGAATGCTGGAGCTGAAACTTCCATTTTGCAGAGGCTGTTGTGGGTTCTTGGGAGACTACAGCCATCGTTAATGATGTCTCACCTTCTATTATTCTCTGTGGGCCAATGTGCCCTCCGATGGAACAGTCTTCCTGGTGTAAGGGAACCCAGTGCTACTCTTTCCTGAGGCCTGCTTATGTCCATGTTGCCTCACACAAGCCCTCTCACTCCTATCCCACATCTGAACCAAGGAAACTGCACACATTCTTCCCTGGACAGAGTGGGAGCAGTGGCAACTGCCTTCAGTGCAGTGGAGATGATTGCCAAGAACAAAGTTAGAGCGATGTGCTCTTCCTACCTAGGAACATACTCTACCCCCCTTTCTTTTTTTTTTCTTTTTATTGAGTTTATTTACAATCTAGTACTCTACCCCCCTTTCTTTTTTTTTTCTTTTTATTGAGTTTATTGGTACAATCTAGGTATACAATACAATTACATTCATCATTGGGATTCTGTACCTTTACATAACAGGTCTTGATTCTCATTTTTCCCCTTGTCCCTGCCCTCCCTTCACCCCCTCCTCCCCTCCCCATTTACAAATATTTTATTTCCATTTGTTCAGTTTCTCATATTTTTTTCCTCTCCCTTATTACCTTTCCCCTACCCTTCCCACTTTCCCTACACCTTTAGCCCTTTACTTCCTATTTCACATTACTAATTATCTCATTAGGATCCTGTGTACTATCATAGTTTTTCACACCAAAGAAACTATTTGGTATTTCAGTTGAAGAAATCTCTGTATGAACATTAAAAATAAACCCCCCTTTCTTGATGTCTGGTGTCTCCCAACCTTTCAGTTTGGTGAGGACTAAGTGAGAGCACACCTTTCTTTAAAAAAATTTTTTTTAATTGCCTCAATAGCCTCTTCCAATTGACAACACTCCTCGAAGCGACTGGTACTTTTTGGAATGGAGCACCAATTCTTTCTTGGTTCCTCTTGGCTAAGAGTTTAGTTTGAACATCTTTTAAGTATATCATGAAATTGTTGTTTGAAAAAAAAATTGTATGTCCGAACTTTATTGTTTGGATAAAGTACTATTTCATCTCTGTACTTTCAAGACACCATAACCACATGGTTACACTCAGGAAAATAGTGCCCCAGAACATCAAACTTCCACTTTCTGATCAGCCCTGCTCTTTGGAATAGACTCTCTCCCTCCTCCTGAGCAGATAATGACAGATTAAGAACTTTCCCACTCACTCTAGGACTCAGGACACCCAGATATTGTTATGACTTGTGTCTTGATGTGTCCTCAAAGCCTCATGTGGTCATAGGTGGGGCTTTTCTGAGGTGACTGGATCTTGAGTGTGTGAGGTTGAAATTGAGTATGTGATTACTAAATTACCCCACTGATTGTTTTGGCATAGTTCTTAGAGCTGTCTACCCTGGATAGAATATAAAGGCCAGAAACGGGTCTGCTATCCTTGATTGCTGCTTCTTCACTGCCTTCTGCCTGCCATGAATTGTTTCTCCCTGTGATGATCCTCTGCTGTGCCACCCTGCCTGGCAGCTAGCCAACTATGAACTAAAACCTCTACATACTGTGAGCTACAATAAGCTTTTCCTTTTAATTTTTGGTGTTGGGTATTTTGTCTCAGCAATGAGAAAAAGCAACTAAGGTACATGTGAATGGGGTCCTTGTCCAAGCTCCATAAGGCTGCAGGACTATGTAGAGGGACTGCTGAGCTCAGGGCTAAAGGACAAACGGGACTACAACATGTAGCGACCCCTGAGGAATCCAGAGCTGGGAAGACTGACTCTGGATCAAGGAGTGAAGCAAGGGAGGCCACTGCTGCTGGGAAAAGGCACATCAGCAGAGGCCTAATTTAGAATGTGGAGTCCAGCCCATCTTGCCAGTAGTTGCCTGTCTTTCCTGGCTATGCTATCCCCTCTCACAGCTCACACATGCTTTTCTCTCAGGTAGGAAGACTCCCTTTATTACCCACTCCCTGCCACTACGGCTGTTCAACAGTCAAGTCTTAACTTAAATTTATGTGAAGCTTTCCTGCTACTTTCCCTATCCAGATGCTACATCATTCCCCACATCTCAGCTCAAGCCCTCTGTATATGTTGTGCTTCATTAATTTGCTTTTCCTTGTTCCTCAAGAGACAATGTCTCAAAGTCACAAGCTGTGCCTTATTCATTTTTGTCCTCCCACCACCTACCCATTGTGCTTCATTATTGTAAGGTTTTGCATTAGGTTCGGCTGCTGTGTAACTAATTACCACACATTTAGAATCTTATGGTTTCTATGAATCAGAAGGCTGCTAAGTGTGATTAAAAATATGGTGAATGTTTAAATTTTTACAATGTGTAACAGTAAAAGACATTGCCATCCACCCCCTCCGAGATACTCCTCCTCCTTTCAAACACACTATCCCATTATTATTGCTAGTTTCTGAAGTAGTTCTGGAAGTCCCCTTTTGTGAGCATCTTTAGGTGCAGTGTTGTGCTTGCCTCCATGACCGGAAGCAGTTCAAAAGATCTACCTTTCTACTGGTCATTTTGACTTTGGAAAAGCGCCAGAAGTCTCAGGTGCCAGAAGTGGTGAAAAGGGGATGAGGACACATTGCAGTGTTTTCAGCAGCCTGTCTTTCTCTTGGACGGCACTCAGTGCAGCACTCACAGTATTTTTGATTACACCTCATAAACACTCATGAAAAAGGACTTCCAGAACTGCTTCAGAAAGTGGTAAGAATAATGGATAAGTATGTTTGAAGTGAGATGGAGTTTTTTAAGGGGGATAAATGGCAGTACCATTTTTTTTTTTTTTTTGGTACCTGGGATTGAACTCAGGACCTTGTGCTTGTGTGGCAGGCAGCGGCACCACTGAACTATTTTCTGGTCCACTATGTATTTTACTGTAATAAATTTAAAAAAGAAAAGCTGGGGATTTAGCTCAGCGGTTCAGTGGCTTGCCTTGCAAGTGCAAGGACCCGAGCTCAATCCCCGGTACCCCCCCCCAAATTATATACATTCACCGTATAGTGCAATCACCCTTTATAGGTATCGTGTGCTTGGCTTCTCTGATTAGGGGCTCACTGAGTGGAAATTAAGACACTGGCCAGTGCAGCAAGGGCAGCAGTTCTTATCTGGGGTTCATGGTGCTCTTCTAAGCTAAGTTATCTTCATTTCCTTGCAGCTCTAGGACTGAGGTCCCCATTTTTCGGCTGGCTGTTGTGCAACAACTACTGAGAAGCCATCCAGTTTCTTGTCAGTTTACAACATGGATGTTTGCTTGCTTCCAGGCTAGCTGGAGCACATCTAATTTATTCTCTGAGAAAGAACAGACAGAACTCTTGTGCTTCTACATGAGTCACCCATTAGATCAGGCCCACCCACTATAATCTTCCTTTTGCAATATAATGTAACATAAAACAGCAGAAATAGTTTTACCCATATGAAAAGCGGGGGGATTCTACACTGGGAGTCATTGGGCTTATCCTATAATTCTGCCTATTAGAGAGCTCAATGGATACTTATAATGCCCAGTAAGATATGTTCCAGAAATTTATAAATTATAGACACTACTGTTGTAAGATTTGTTTTTTTATTGTTGCTCTGGAGGACTTAAGTGGTTTGCAAATGTATGTTGGATCCATAATGGTCAAGAGTGCCATATCTATAATACAAGGGGGCCCCTGCAGTGAGTCCAGGAAATACTTAAAACTCAGGTCTGAGGGTAAGACCTGGTCTATAGTGGGATGGCTGGGTGACCTTTGGTTAAGTCCTTGATACTTTTATTTTTAGATTTCTTCTCATGTGTAAAACGAGTACAACATCTAAGCTTAGCTACCTCTAACATTTTATAGTTTCTAAGATCAAGTCATACTGATCAAATTAAAACCTAGTGGCTCACAATATCCAAATTCATACGAATAGGTCATGAAAGAGTTTTATAATAGATCCAATTGCAGTGATGTGTTTTTAGAAGAAAAAGGCAGTTTTGTTTTTAAGTGAATTCATTTATATAACCAACTCAATATAAATAAAGGTACAAAACTGCATTTTCAATACTTTATATATTATGGTAAAGAATACTGTAATTTTAGATGACCTATCTGTTCAGTTATGATTAGAAGTGAATTTTCCCCAAGCTACTAAAACTTGATAAAACCATTGTCTTATAAATAAGCTGAACTAACTTAATTGATGATAACTTAATAATTATCAAAGGCAATACTTAATATGACAAATGAATTCTCTGGCTGTGCAAAACATGTTGAGATTCTTATATACATTTGGGGGGTTTAAGTTCTTTTGTCTTTCTGAAATGAAGTTCCTTTGGCGAGGATAATTATTCTCTTCACCCCAACAAAAATGAGCTCTAATTTTAAACAGGTATTATTAAATCCCACTGAAACAGGCACCATGCAGATGTATTCGTTAAAACGTCCCTTTATTGACTGTGCAGTTATTAACGATTCACATTTCACTTTATCTACAGAGTGGAAGAGCATTTATTCTTTCATTAAAAAGCTAAGCCCTCCAGGGCATGAGCAGGGATGCAGAGAGCCTTCTTCCTAGGAACAGCACCGTCCAGTTCACAGAGGTGCTTCCATGCGACACACAAGGGAAAACAAATAAAACAAATGAGGTCTCCCTCCTGCCATTATCCTCCTCCCTGCCAAGAGAATCTTTGTTTTAAAAAAGGCTTATAAATAAACAGTTCCCACGTGGCACTTCCATCAGTCAGTAGAGGAACGGCAACATTTACAAGGCGTCCCTGGGTTGAGAATCTTCTTAGGGCTCTGTGAAACTGACTGAAAGGGTATGAGGCCACAGTCACTTCCTCAGGAAGGTGCCTTACGGACAGAGACGGTGGAAAATCACGAGGGCATAAGTCAGCATCTAGCACCTCGCTGCTCAAGTTTCCGGAGCTGTTTTTCAAGTTTTGAGAGGTTTACTCGATGCATCATAAGAAACTGGCCATTCAAATGAAAGACAGGAATGTCAAATTTATACCTTTCATACCAAGCAGAGTTTTCGGGAAGGGTGATATCCACCTCCTGTAAGATAAACTGAAACACAGACAGGCTAAAGCTTGGTATTTTAGAGACCATGGAGTGATGCAACAACTGCACTGATTAATTGATCCTCTGACTGTTTGTACAGCTCAGAAGTTTCTGTTTATTTTGGGTCCACAATGTTCTAATGCCCCTGACTTCCAAAACCTAACTTGTTTCATTACATGAGGCATTTGCTCCTTTTCTGTTACACCTGCTACATTCGGCATCAGGGCTCTTCACAGTTACCTGTAAATAGACAGGTCCCAGCTGGGAAGCTGCCTGAGAATCAGGACCAGAGTGTTTGGCAGGAAGAATGGCAAAGGTGTGACGATTTGCGACATGAAAACATTCCATGGGAGTTACACAATAAGATAAAAGGAATGGGGACAGAAGTTTAAAGAAAGCATGCATCTGCACCTGCTAGTTAACTCTGACTCATATGAAGATCAGAGTAGGAAAATCAGTACTGTTAGAGAAAAACACTTAAGGTAATGAGTTTTATGGAAATCAGCACTAAACTCTCTCTGAAGAATAGAAAGAAAATTTAAGTGAAAAATCATTTAATCTCTTTTCTTAAAGAAAGGATCCAGGCACATACTTCATATCACGTTATATCCATTCCACATACATAAAAGTCACACTGTCATATATTACCCTGTTTTTGTAAGGTTTGAGTAGTTCTTTAGCTTCATCACAAAGTGGGCATGGATCCTAAAGAAGGAAAAAAAATATGGCTGTTAAATCCAAAGCATGGTGTATGGCCTAACAAAAATTGACTTAAAGGACAATTTTCTATTACGTTAATCACAATTCTTGGGCTGGGGATTTAGCTCAGTGGGTCTGCTGCCTGCCTTGCAAGCATAAGAGCCTGAGTTCGATCCCTGGTACCAAAATGAAAAAAAAAAAAAAAAAAAAACCCAAAACAAAACAACAACAACAACAAAAATCACAATTCTTATTCCCAATGCAAAACATTATCATAGAATCTTGTAATGAGTTAGAATTTCAAGGCAGATGGAATCTACAGTTTTTGGTTATTTTGTTTTCATTTCTATCCATATTTATCTAAGTACAATAAATTCAGATATGTTATAAATGATCTCCGTATCTATGGCTTCCTCCTTTCTGAGTTAGGAGCACCTTTATGGTCTCTTCCAGCTGGCCTGACTGACACTACCAGTCTGTTGCAGCCACTGGGAAGCATGGACCTTTACCGCCCTATTTTCCCTAGCCAGTCCACCGGAATAAACTCATCAGGACAGTGTTAGATAGGGAGTGGACCCATCTTTAAAAAGAAAAACAAAGTAAAGTCCTTCAATCACTTCAGATGACAGCTGTACCAATGTGTAATTTTTTTTTTTTTTATTACAAGTGTCAGCAAAAGGTACCCTGGACTAATTTTCTACTTAAAGAACAAGGAGACTTTACCGTCCATTGCTGTTCCCACTCTTAAACCACCTTGTAGAGAGGTCTGTTGAGAATAGCGCGGACTGATGGAAGATTTTAAAGGATTCTCAGCGTTTAAGTCTAAGAAAAGGGACTAGCTCTTATGAGCTCAAAATGACATTACTGATTCCTATACAAAATTTTGGTTTTTAATATGTCAGGAAGAGATGAACTAGTATATAAAAGAGAAGCCTTCCTCCAGCCTAACTCACTGCATGTTTTGAAATAATAAATGACATCTTTCTGAATCTTTTTGGCCCTCATTTCCTGTGACAGTGAATTAGGCTCATCAAGTTGTTATTACTGGTAGCATTAGCAATAAATAGATTATGTTTATTTGTGATACTTTAAGACAATTTTAAGATTATTTGTGATACTTTAAGACAACTGTGCTGACATTTTCTAAGAAAGTATCAAAAAGTAGAGGCTCTTCAAAGTAAAAGCAAGACGAGAACATGCTGAAGAGCAGAAGCAAATGTACCGACTGTTTCCTTTTATATTAAAAAAAGATCAAGGTGTTTTGATTTTTTAACTAGTGCCCATGAAAGCCTGTACAAATTATACATGCAAAATATATGCATATATTTCTATGAGGAAAGGTTCATCACACTTTGAAAAGTAACTAAAGAACCAAAACAGTAAGATCCTGTAGTGTGGATCACTCAGATATCCCTTTCTAGCATTTCTTTTTTTTTGGTACTGGGGACTGAACTCGGGTCCTTGCACTTGCAAGGCCGGCCACCGAACCGCTGAGCTAAATCCCCGGCCCTTTCTAGCATTTCTCATGGGTCTTGTTATTTACTCTGTGCCTGAAAAGCAACGGGCATTTGTGGGGTTAGCTGTCCATCACCCATTACCCTTTCTTGAAGCAAGCTTTACTTTGATCCATAGGAACTATCCTAAGCATGTGGCTAATTCTCTCTGAGCAACAAACACCTGACCTAGGCTGAAGCGATCAGAACATCCTATCCCTCGTGTCTACAGTTTGCTCAGGGATGAGCTAATCAGCACCAGTGGATAGCTATGAGACTTTGCTGGGATTTCTGTACATGTCTGAGGTGTGAGATCTGGGACTTTTCAGCCATGAGAAGAGTCAGTGTGAGGATAGACTTAATTCAGAAGATGATGTTACTGGTTCCCGAAACAAGCTATTCTGGAAATAAGAAAACCCTGTGAAACCCTTTTTGTTTAAGTCTCTCTAGAAAGTACCTTCTACTAGTTATAATTGATACAGACCTGATATTCCATCTTTCACTGGAATGTGAGTTCTTGAGGGTGAGAGGGATGTATCCTTTGTGCCTTATGTGTTCACTACGTATACTAAATCGAATGGAAGGTTGGGGTTTTGTTTGTTTTATTTTTATAAATGTTTCTATCTCAGCTGGCCTGAAAAACTGAAAAATAGCACAGAAAGCAGGCCAAGTGAGCACAACTAGCTTTATGAAGTTATTTCATTTTTATGGTTAATTCTCATATGCATTTCCTATGATATATTCATAGGTGATAAAATATTTTGGGTTCTATAATTTTCAACAGTGCATCATACATTCATAGATATGAAGAGTAGTTTAAATATATAAACAAGAAACTCATTTAAAAAATCACTTGAACTTTGTTATTAGACAACTGTCAAAGTTTTTCAAACTGCTAAAATGGCTGCAATCTGAAAGAACTGTTAAAAATAGAGACACCACAGTTAATTATTGCGGTTTATTTCTTTTTTATCATAAATTACACATAGTGATGCAAACTAGTAAAAAGAAATCACTAATATTTGTATTATAAATTGCAGGGCAAAAAGAGCTCTTAAAAGCTTCCTTAAAACTAGCCTTAGGGTTTAAAAGTAGTATCATGGATGAGAAAACAAGGACAATGAATCATTATACATGAATTTTGTATCTGTAAATTTGCCTACTTGTTAAAACTTATTTGTAACCCTCAAATCAATATTTAAAGCACTTTTGTGGTCATTCAGGAAACACATGCACAAAGTGATAAAAATGAGTCCAATGAAGCACTCATTCTAAACTAAGGTCCAACAAGGTTATGCTTTGCCTTGTTTCAGCTCTTACACTGTAAACATGAATCAGTACCTCCTTCATGGGCTGAATAGTACTACGTTTTTCACTTTTGGACTTTTTTGTTGGTGCTTTTAAGAAACAGCCACCAAGTATAGTGCTGAAATGCTGTCTCATGTACCAGAGCCTAAGAAGGGTGTGACACCTTGTGGAGGAAATATACCCGGTAAGCTTTATCTACCCAGGGGTTAAGAGTGCCATTGGCTGTGAGTACAATGTTAATGAGTCAATAATATACATTAGGGGCCAGGGATTTAGCTCAGTGGTTCGGTGGCCTGCCTCGCAAGCCCAAGGACCCGAGTTCAATCCCCGGTACCACACACACACACACACACACACACACACACACACACACACACAATACATTAAATAAGGCACCTTTAAACCACAGCACACATAAAATAACGTTATGCATTTGATTAGTTGACAAATATACTATGACCAGAGGTTCGTGAGAATTGTGTTTCATAAGAGCAATGATGCTTTTATAGAATGGTTCAGTGGTTGCCAATTCAGAGTTTATAATGGTTATGTTCTATAATATACCACAAATTACGACAAATATCAAGAACTGACATTTCCAAATGATATGCTTTGAAACATGATATTACAATGTATAATTTTTTTCAATGTAAGGGTCAGATGACCATTACATATACAAATTTATGTTCAGAAAACTGTGAGACAAGGAGGTGCCTGGGAAGGTGACAGTTACTTCTGCTGTGTCGATGTAGGAACTGAGGAGCAAGTCTAAAGAAAGTGTGCTCCATTACCTTTCCTTTCAGACTCATGCCCCTTTTGTCTATGTACAACTTTCTCTATCCAATCATTTCAGTGCTTTACATTTTTAAGTAGTAATTTGATTTTTTTCACCCTGTACCTTTGTGAATAAGGTCAGCACAGGCAGAGTTGTCTTAGAAGCAGACAGATTTCTCAAGAAGAGCCCAAAGGAAGATTTGACAAGTTGCATGCTATTTCCTTGAAACCAGAGCATCTTAATTCTGCCAAAAGAAAAATAAACTAGTAAACTTACCACCTTAGACTTTGCTCTTTATAATACAAACAGTAAGGTGCAAGCTTATAATGGAATCAGAAGACTTCAGAATTGTTTTTGGTAGTTCAAGAGTGTCAGAGAGGTCCACATGTTTGGCCAGTCTGCATAATATCTCAAACATTCACGGTATCCCAAACAAAACAGATTTTGAATAGAAAAAAATCCATATTTATAGATTAGCTGTGTGCCTAATCAATGGTTTCTATAAGGAAACTACATGGGTTCATTAATACAAAACTAAATTTTTCCTGGAGGTTTTGGCAGCATCGTGATGATGGCAAAGGCGGAGGCGCCCTGAAATGGCTTTGTAATAGGGACAGCTTCTCTTATTGGCAAATATTCGAAACTTCTAGCCATCATCCTCACAATAAATGACAGGTAAATGGCACAAGTCCCCCACTGAATGTACAGGTTATCTCTTATGTGATCTATGCTCTTCTACTGTTAGAGATGAAGAGACACAAAGCTATAGTTATAGGAACTATAGTGGCAAATTGGGCTGAATTAACTTGTCAGAAATAAAAACCTCTGCTCAATTCCTTAAAAGTATTTTAAAAGGAGACTGCCATAATTTTCAAAAACCATACACAAATGTACTAGTGTTTTTACTGGAGAGATTCCAGTAAGAACAGCTTAATAGCAGCATGTCAAACACTACGCTTCAAAGCTCCCTTATCCCGCTACTTTGCTTGACACAAGACACCCTATTATTCCTAGCTATTCTTCTGAGCCTTCAGCTTTGTCTTTAAAACTACAAATATTATAACTTCATTTTAAAAACACCTGTGCACTGTTGGCTTTATCATTTATCAATATTCCTAAAAAGAACTCATTCCTGAAATCATGATTGCTTAACTTTGATCTCTCTCTCTCTCTTTCATTTAGCACTTTCCTATCCCTTAACTTGGCAAATTTCAACTGCAAAAAATTCTCTTTCTATTCTTTGAATACCCAAGATATATCTTCATCAGAATCTTCAATTCCTTTCCCTTTGTCTGAAAAGCACAGAGCTAGCTTTTCCTCATTTGGCCTGGATCTCATGTCACTTCTTTTGAAGAGGTCTTAGTGACTGCATTACCATGCTGGCCAGCCTACAATTCTCCATGTTTAAACTCTGTTATAGTTTTCTCTGCCCTTTACTATCTAACATTATTCATGTCACCTCTCCTACAAGGTAAGTTCTATAATATCAAGTATCTGTTCATTCCCGTATCTCTAAGTATCCATAATTAACCTGGCATATTGTCAGAGCTTAAATGTTTGTTTGAATGTTAAAAATATTGGAGTGAGCCTTTCCCACCCTCTGCAGTTTTACCTCTAACCTTATTCAATTACTCAGTGTATAGAGAAGTCACTCTTTAAGACTTATAACTAAAGGTTAGTGCTCCTTAAGAGTGTCCACGAGATTTGGGGCTGAGGTGATGCAGCTGGTTCTAACCTCTTCACTGCCACCATGCCAAATCTCCCCCTGCTCTGCTCCACAGAGTATTAATTGTTAATCTTTGCTGGCAACCAAGCTCCTCAGTGTAAGATTAGCTTTAGATCCATTTCAAACGAAATGATATGACTTTAGAGAAAACCACCCACCCATATCAAACTACAGTAGAGACCAGAGGACAAAAAGATCAGATACTGATCATGAAAACAATGATCTTTCCTTCATTTTCAAGCTTATATTCTTCCATTTATACTCAGATATTCCTGCTAACCAAATGATCCTGATAATGCATGAAAAAGGAATGTGATAAGAACTTTGCAAGAATCTGCTATCCAGAATTACTCCAAGGTGGACAGTGACCTAAGCAGTTTCCCACCATTCTGGGCTAGTCTCAGTTAAGTGTCAACACCTGGTATCTACATTTTCTGTAAAATTAGCAGAGTCAAAAAGCTCCAAGATGTGAACGTGATTGGAAACACAGCTTTGTCTAAAGAGCTTTATAAAAATTAAGGTGGTTACAGTGGAGAGAATGTTAACTGTATTTCTGGTATGTAGAAATTTCTGCATCAGTGGACTCAGAAAGGCTCCATACCACCAATGGCACCCCATCCTAGGATGCTGGTCAAAGAATTTGTACTGTACACAGAAGAAAAAAAATTAGCTTCATTAAAGGCAGATATGCAGCCTTTAGAAATGAGAAAGATCAGGCCATCTACGGCAGTGACCTAAAACTATAACAAGGTGAACTACAGGTACATCCTTTTGGCAGAGAAACTGAAGATTTACTGATGTCTGGCTGACTAGGAAAAGAAAACATTGCTTTTACCTCTCTGAGTTGAGACTGAGGTGTTAAGCCTTTAAATTCACAATGGAAATCTGCTTCAGTATTTGCAACAAGACAAAACACAGCATGTGGTCTTGGCTGCACCCAAGACAAATAAAACCTGTCAGAGTAAACAGTTGCTATTCATTCCAGATTTGTTAGCCTATTTGTTCAACCAACTCAGAGCTAAGTAAAGTCTTCAGTGATGCTGCAACCATTCTATTTACAACTTGTTCTCTTCTCCACTGTTATTCTACATTTCTACTTTTTACACATTTTTAATCACTTAAGCACAGTATGTTTACTGAAAACCATAAAAAAGTGACAGAAAAGGAAGGGAAATCAGGGCTCTGAAGGGCAAAAGCGGTCTTGTGAGGGCAGAAATGATCAGTGTCTATATGCACAATACCGAAATGAACACCCATTATTCTATTTAATTAACGTGCAGTAATAAAAAGTTAAAATAAAACCAATTACTACTGTTTGACAAAGTATAAAACATTCTTGTTATGCTATTTTACAACCTGCATATGTCTCAAATGCCCTAGGTACATGCATGTTACCATACTGCTCAATTAACTTATTTCTTTGGAAGTATTACAAAATTTAAAATATTAGAGTCTGACATAAAGAAAAAGCTCCCTATCTCTCTTCTAAGCAGATATTAAAACCAAAATTCCTTCAGTCCTATATCCCACTTAATGATTGAAAATGTAACAAAAAATGATATACTCCCATAGGAGCTCTTTAATATTCTCCTTAGAACTTTTTATTAACTCTGTAAACCCTAACACCATTGCTGCCGATGTCCCATTCACTGAATCATGCCTCTTCCAGTTAAATCTTAATGTGGGCCATTCTGTCAATATGGCAGTTTCATTAGTTCAATTATTTTTGAACAGTATCTTAGCACTACAAAAAATCCTGAAAAGCAGTCTTTGCTTGTTAGCCACCACTGTGAAAAGACATCACTTTTTTTATTATGTCACTGAATTTACCCATGAAATATATGTCCCTACTACACACAGACACAATTTTATCCTTTGTATTTTGTTATATGCCTCTGTGATATAAGCAGAAAAAAGCTGTGCTCATAATATCACAGAAGCAAATTGGGTCACCTTTGTCACAGACTTAAAAAGAAAAAGCAAGAGGCATAAGAAAAGGCATAAGACTAGATTTAGAATGCGCTTAAAACAAACTCCATGGTTCAACAATAAAGATGGTGACTCCCGCTGTTTCAAGTCCAGTGCCACTCAGAAGCATGGATCCCCTTGAAAGAGAAAGGAAATGCTGGCTTTTCAACAAAACTGAGGCTGACTTTAGTGCTCTTTATGGTAGAATCAAATACAACATGGGGGGAGGACTGATTGGACCAATTCAGCTTTCCTTGAAGCAAGATAGGCATGATAATTTAACTTTTTATAGCATTTTCCCTGCTAAGCACTGAAGAGCATACCATTAAAACAGCCGATTACAGTAGAGAAAGAAGCCAGGGTTGTTGAGCCTTTATTAAGGATTATTCATTTCTTGCATGAGGAGCTGCCCTAGCTATGGCTGCATATCATTTATGTGGGGCTCCTGGATTTTTCAAACACTGTGTGTATCTGATTAGGAGGGAAACAACATTGTTCTCGCTTGAGTAGAGAAACTGACCTTCGCTGACCAAAATTTTATTCATACAAAGAGTCCTTTGGCACACTAAAGCTCCAAGCTCACATGACCCTTCATCAGAAAGCTGTAGTGTTAGTTCGTGCACAAAATCACAAAGTCTATATATGCACAAGCACAGGTACTGCCTTGGTTATTAACAGATAATGATGGAGCTTCTTCACAAGAGTATAATGTAAATTTAATGTTGAGCTAACATTAACCAAACACTATTACATTACCATAGCTCTTGTTGAACCTGTGTTCCATAGAGAGAGCTCAGGGCTTTTGTTTAGTCATTTGTGCCGTGTGAGAAGTTAAGTGCTCCATTTCACATTGATTACCATCTAAGTGGTAATAGAAAATCTACTTTTAGCAGGATGAATAAAAACACCCCCACCCACCCCACATACCCCTACACCTGTTAGGGAAAGAACCCCAGGATTTTAGATTACTGAAAGTTTATGTAAGTCCTTTGGGTCACTGTGATCTACCTAATTCAGGCAAATACAGTAGGGACAAATTATGCCCCACAATGCTTCTCTACTTTTGATCAGACAGGTGTGTTTGAACCTTTCTCCCTCTGGAACAAATGGGCACCTAGCCTGAGATTCTAGGTGCAAGGGCAGGAGAGAGAGAGAGAGAGAGAGAGAGAGAGAGAATGTCTCCATGGAACCATGAGTGACAAGGTACCAGACAAGTCTCATACTAAAACTGAAAATTGAAGATACTTTGAGGTGTCACTTCCAAGAAGCTAAGCAGGATTGGGAATGAGGCTGAAGAACAGAAACAGGGAATAGAGCAGTACAAGACCCATCCTGGAATGGGACCCCTAACTCATTGGCATGGCTGGCATTGCAGGTGCTCTTCTAGTGCCTTAGCCCCAGCAGGCCATGTACCTAGCAGGGAGAAATGAAAAGGATGTGGCACCAACTCAGACAAGGTGTTGCAACCAAGGTCCTGCACTAACTCACCGCCTACTGTGGCCACTGTACACGGCATCCTGCTCAGCTCTGTTCTGACTGGTCAGTCTGGA